CGGGGCGGGCGGGATAGTGGTAAACGTTTACAGTATCCGCACAAACAAACATATTCCATTTCAAGATATATACTGGTGGCACAAAATGCAAATGCGCCGTCATGGCGAGGCATGCAAACTGAAGTAAGCTTGTGCACGTGTGAGCCTTCAACATCAATGCAACGCTAGAGGCGGTCCTCCAAGTTGCGCTGCTGAAACGAAGGTAATACTTACAATACGCATGCACGCACTGCTAAATGATTTCACGAATGGTTGCAATGCTTGTACACAATGTTACTCAGCTATGCAGCAAACTCGTATCTGGCCCAATGCGAGCTCATGACGCACAGCTGTGCGAAGAAACCCCCCGTTTATCTCCTGTTACATGGATGCATGAACAAAACACTTTGCATGCATCACCTTTACTCATGATGCTGCTACCGCTGCCGCTGCCGACGCTGCGCATTCTTACAGGCCTTTCACAACAATCTACGCTCTTGGGCTGTCTCTCCCCTCTCCTCACCCTCATTAATTGGGGAGGCCTGTGTGTCGCTGCTGCCTCAGTCAGTCAATGCTGACCTTCTTCTTGTCTCCAGCCGCCTTCTCGCTCGTTGATATGCGAACAAACAGAACCCCATCCTGCATCGTGGCACTCACGGTATCATCAATCGCATTTGGGGGCAGCTGAAAGCGCCTGCAAAAAAAGCCAAAGTTCCTCTCAGCCACCAAACACTTCATCTGCTCTCCATACACCTCCTTCAAGTTTATCTTTGGCCGATTTCCTGAAGAGAAGCAGCATCACCAGGAGCTAAGCCAGTCTCTACAACCGTGCGTGCAGTTTGTGAAGCAACCGCAACACCTTCGAATTAGGTATCATGCACATGTAAGACGGACAATCACTTTCTTAGACTGTCATTCTGCCCTCAGTCCACACGGAATCCGCGGCGCTGGTTCAGAATGTGAATGTTTGCAACACTGCAACGAATCCGTCAACAGCAGCAGCAGCAAGACACGCTACTGCACATGACGAGGCACCAATTCGGGGACGAAGATAGCAGCACCAGTAGCAGGAGGAGGGATTCCAGCAGCAGAGGCAGCAGCAACTGTCTCTGCTTTGTGCGGCCTATTGTAGCCAATAAAAAGTTAGCTTACCTGAGACACTGAGGCATCTGTTTTCCGTCTCAACGCTGATATCTTCCTTCTTGAACCCCGGCAAGTCAAATCCAAAGACCAGCTGATTTGCTTTCGCATCGAACACAACGTCCACTTGAGGCCTCAAATTAATCTTCTTTGTAGTCTCCGCATCACACGCAACCTCAAACACCGTATTAGGTGCAGCTGTGAACGTGCCCCCTTGGGTAACGGGACACCAGAAACCAGCCTGCGCACAAACAAACCCTAAACAAGAAGCAGTAAAGCCTAGTCTAAATTAAGCGTGGCGGTGGCGTCTACTGCGAAAGTTAACGAACGTTGTAGGTGCCTCCATCCTCAGCTCCTGGTCTCCTCTGGGCTAACGACCATGCTGTGCTATGAGCATTACTCCTAGACCATATGTGGTTCTGGGCGATGTCTGTATTTACTGCCCGTACTGTCCGTCGCAATCGAACACGTGTAAAAGTACGCCGAATCCATGCATATGCGTAAGTCTATTCTTTGCGTGGACGAGTACACGGAGAGATACTTCATTCATGTACCACAAAGAATGGTGCAACTGATCTACATCCGACAACCCCACGTCACTGTCACCTGAAGGGGAGACCCACTAAAAAACCAAACCACGACAACCGCTCCACGTACTGCATGCCCGTGGTGTATTCATAGATTACGACCAGCAGCTGTTGTCGTTCGCAGCTTACAGAGTAAGAGTACGTTGAAGTGGTGGTGGTGGGGCCGGCAGAGATCAGGCGCTGAGGTGCCCGTTCCCTCAAGTACGACTTGACCTCATCCCACGTCGCCTGCAGGCACGTCAAACAAATCTTAAACCTTCAACCAAGGACCGTAAAACTAGACTAACACGTATGATGGTGCATCCGAAATACCTCTCCAGAGTCAATCATTTGCTTCGTCCGGGGGTCGTTGACAAGTTTCTCCCTCGTGGTTTCAATGTATTTTCTCAGCTCTTCGACCGTCCCGTAAGCTTGAGATGTGAAGTCGCGGGTCTCCTGCTGCTGCTGCAACGGACCCAACCCCACAAAAGAAAGAGAGTCGTCCATTGGACACAAAAGAGCCCCCAGTGAAGTAGGAACAACATCTACAAGCGCAGAGTCAGGGTGGGGGCTTACGCTATAAACCCTAAACACAATATTCCCTGCTTTACTGTACGTGTGCAACTGCCCGTCTTCTCCTGCCTGCCCTGTCTAAACACTCCTCTCTACTGACACAATTGCAAAATAAACACGAAATGACTCCATTTTCAGCGGGGAAAACAAACATAAACGCATGAAACCCAGCCTAACTCCTCACCTCAGACATCGCCACACAATTGCAGACGAATGCTAAACACCACGCCTAACAAGCTTTCCTCTTGAAGACGCAAACACTACAAAGGTAAACTTCTTAATCGCAACCAGAAAAATCCGAAAAGATCAACTGGTGAACGTGTTTACCTCTCTTGCTCTTACTGCCATGGCTTCTGCTTCCGTGTACTGAAGGGGAGAGGCGCCTCGTGGCTTGCACACGCAAGAATGCACCCATGCGTCATGCTTCTTCTGCCACCCCTTTTCCATTCCCTTCCATGCTTCACCCACTAAAATGCAAACTGTTTGATTTATGTTTCCATTGCACACAGAAATACAATGCTTCTATGCGACGGCACACTCCAGTGGCTCTCGTGGCCTATGCTTCACACTCAGCCTCTGGCTCCTTGGTTTGGGGAGCGACGGGAAATAAATTGGATTGATATTTCATTTAGCACCTATTCGACGACAGCAAACATTTAACCTTTAACTGCAAGGTTTCAAGCGGGTGATATCTATATTTCTGTATGCTTTCCCACAAATGTGTGTCGCGTGTGCCAGCGGCTCCAGGCTGCTTCCTGCGAATGCACCGTGGGCATTGACGGTCTTCTTACTTATTGGGGTGGGGGGACGTGTAAAGTTAAACTTAAACGTCGGAATCTGCAAATACTAATCTTAATATTCTCATCCTAACCATGTGTGCTATTCCTTTTAGGTCGTCAGCTGACCCCGTACGCTGGAGTTCGCTCGCGCCAACCCAATGGTCACCCACTGGAAGGTTGGGTCGCGTGGGGTGCATGTTCAGTAAAGGAAGAAAAAACCCACAGAAAGCCAGTCATTGCAGAGTCTTATTTCTGGATTTGCCCACGTATTCTGTTTTACTGAATCCTTTGCGTACACGTATGGGAGGATGCGGAGCTCCGTCAGTGCGCAGGGGGTCTGCAGGATGCCTCGCGAGTTGCACTCCACATGGCTAATTTATACTGTATCTCGCTACATGAGCTTAGTGCTGCGTAGCGATTGGGTATGTTTGTCCCCTGGACAAAGCAGAGGACCGGGGGGACGAACTACGTACTCCTAAAATCGGCACCCAAAATGCTGTCGCCGGCAGCAAGAGTGATGAGAGGGGTGCCAAGGGAGACGTTGCTAATATGTTCGTTTACATGTGTATTCTCCTACCATAAGCCGTCAACCTCACGGCACCAATTATGCTTTCCATGTACTGACATACCAGGAGCACCATCCATAACCTAGGAGTCCGCCACTTACCACTCCTAGACAGTCTCCCGCGTTCATATACCTGAAGGCCTAAACTCTAAAGCCTAAACTTGACACCTGATGTTCAGACCGAATTTCCCGCTATGATTCCCACGAGGCTGAGGCAGCCATAACCGAATCCCTAGTCTCTACTCCCTATCCCCTAAACCTTACACCAAATTTTAAGTCCTGAACCCTGAAGTAACATGGGCTTCACACGGCCGTTCAGATACACCTCAGCTTCATTTACAGGGGGAAGTGTTCATCTATACCGGGAGCAACGACTCAGTTGTTGCAGTAGACTGCTTGTACTTCAGTCTTGCGGAGACCCCACACCACAGGAGACCGTCAGTTCGCAGCCGCGTGGGGCTACACAGCTCCCCCCCGTGTCTCCTGTGCGCTTGGCTGCAGCGACAGTCGGGGCTGATGCTCCCCTGTTGGCGGCGCGAGAAGCACTCCTCCTGGAACAGTCAAAACAGAAGCACATACAGACAAATACGAGCTGTGACCTAGTCACTTTTGTAGAAACAGGAGCAACAGCAGCAATAAACACCAATAAATGCAACAGCCGCGAGGAGTGTTACTGCAGGCAGAGTCATGTAAAAGCAGCAGCAGCAGGTTTCAAGAGTTGCTGTACATAGCAACACTAACAGCAGCAAAAAATCTCCTGCGGCGGCAGCAGCAGCACCAAATCACCTGCGTCTAAAGGGGCAGGGAGGGGGAGCCGCAAGGGTTTGGCCTGGAGGAAGATGGGGTCTCCTGTGGTACGCACGCCCGACCCTAGCATTCAGCAGCGCCAAACAATCTTCAAAACAATTCGCATCTATGTCCTCCTGTGTACTTACAGCGGGAACCATCGGCACCGAATCGCCTTGCCGAACCTCTTCATGACCATTTGCACAAGCAGCATTAACGGCTGCGGAGCTGCTGCTGGTTCGAACTGCTGCGGACCCACGGACAGGAGCATGCGATGGCCCTACCGAACAGCTTCGCTGGCCCCTCGGGAGGCCCCTACATTTATCTGTTGGGCCACTGCCTGAGCCAGCTCTTTGAGGTCCCCAAGAAGATAAGACCGTTGGGGACCCCGCTCCTTGCGGCATGGAAGGGGCTCCATGGGGCCCCCACGCAGACGCAGTTGGATGGCGCATATGGGGGTCCGCTGACAGCGCCTCAGGTCGCGAGCTGGGGTGCGAGGCCCATTCTCCTTGTGGGACCCCAGGGAAGAAGACAGGCTTGACCCAAGCTTGCTGAGGCCCTAGAGTACGAGAACGGCCCCTGGCAGCTGCCTCCTCCCATACTGTTGCTGTGACAGCGTCCGCTGTTGCAGCTTCGTTTACACAGCCTCTTTCATACGGCAGATAATATGCCCCGCTGCCTGAAGCCTGGCCCCCTTGGCCATAGGAAGGCAAAGGGATGTTGAGAGGCTTTTCTGGAGGGTACACGGTTCTGCGCTTCTCGCTATCCAGCGCGAAGTCGGCGGCGATGCCGTCACGGGTTCTCTTCACAATATTAACAATTCGCGCAGGCAACGGGGGCACGGGGGGCCGAGGAGTCCAGCAAGTCGCAATGGTGAGGTTTCCGCTGCCGTCCCCACAGGGACCCCAGGGGCCCTTGGAAAATGCTGGGCTCCAAGGTGCAGAGGTGCGGCAAGAGGCTTCAGAGGGCCCCCCGATGCGCCCTTCACAACTGGTAGTGGTGGGAGCAGGAGAATGAAGATCCGGACGATATGATGCTGCACGGTATGCTGCAGGGTTTGAAGGGAGCCCAGCACCCTCTTGACGGTAAGTGGAGACCGGAGAAGCAGCCCGACCTACAGAGGGAATCACTTGGCCGCCTGCAGCAGCTTCACGAGAGGATACGCCTCCTGTTTGAGGATAGCTGGGAGCCCCCAGAGAACCGGGAACCCTCTCGGAAATGCATGCAGAACGTGCTGCAGCAACAGTGGGCCTGGAGACTGACTCAGATATGCTGTTCGATGCATGCAGAGAAGGGGGTTCGCCAACAATAGACGGAAGCCCCCGAGCCCCGGAAGCTCTGTCATCTTCTACTCGTCGTTCAGTTGGCTTCTGCTGCGAGTTCTGCTGCTGCAAGTGCTGCTGCTGCAAGTGCTGCGGCTGCAAGTGCTGCTGCTGCGAGTGCTGCTGGTGCGAGTTCTGGTTCTGCAAGTGCTGCTGGTACAAGTGCTGCTGCTGCGAGTTCTGCTGCTGCAAATGCTGCTGCTGCAAGAGCTGCTGCTGCTGCTGGTGCGATTGCTTGTTCGATTGCTGCTGTTGCTGCTGCAAGTTCTGCTGCTGTTGCTGCTCCTGAATTTGCTGCTGGTGGTGCTGCTTTTGCTGCTGCTGGGGCACTCGCTGCTGCGCATGCTGCTGCTCATGAGGGCTCGGTTGTGGGCCGATCGTTGCACTAGTACCACGGCCCTGCAGGATGGCCCCCGTGACGGCGGGGGGGGTGAGATCATTTTGTGGTGCTGCAGTTATTGGTACAGCAGCACGTGTTGCAAAAAGTGCTGCTGCTGCAGCAGGTGATGCCACGGGCTGCGCGCTGCTCCGGGGAATCTCCTTCTGACTGTCTATTCCATCAGAATCTCCTCTTTCTGTAGGTGCCGAGGATCTCACAGTGGACGGTGGCCCCCCTGAGGAGCTGCTCCTGTCGCTGCTGCCGCCACATAGCACTGCCTGGCCCTTGAACTGCAGCTCATAGGGTTTTGGGGGCACCAAGGGGGCCCCAGCGCCCCTTGCAATCGAGGGGACAAAGATGGGGGCCCTGAAGTGCCCAGGAAAGCCGAGAGGTTGGGGTGTATATACAGCGTGGGGCAAAGGCATCCCATGTGGGATTGCACGTGCAGTTTGTCGTCTATGAGCAGCTTGAAACGTAGGTACAGTTTGAGGCGGGCGTGCTGCATGCGCTGCTGGATGGGGGCCCCTCGCTGGCTCAAGAGAGCCCTTACCGGCCTCTCGTGCTGGTGTTCTGCTCTGACTAGCAGTGGGGCCTTTCGCCCTTTCCTTTCCGCGATGAGCCACAGCCGGAACCGAAGCAGAGGCAGGGGAACGTCCCCTCCGCGTCCATGGCCTCAATGAACTCTGGAGCAGCAGGTCGCTCTTGCTGTCTGCAGGCCTGCATCGCCACGTTGGTTCCTCCGGCAGGCAGAAGCTGTTGCCTTCGTCTTCTCCTGTTACTGCTCCTGTTGCTTTTGCACCCGCTGCTGCAACTCGGGCTGCAGCTGTACCAGAACGAGAGGCAGGGACCTCCCAGGAGGCCCCCCCTTTCCCAGCTCGAAAGTGCGGCAACCGGCGATCGGCTTCAGTCAACTGAGGGATTTTGGGGGGCTCCCTGGAGAGGCCTGCCACTTGAGCATCCCGAGCTGTCTGCTGGTGTTCAGCGGCCCGCTGTTGCATGCAGGCGGCGGGACGGTCCTTGCTCCGGGTCACCTTTCGCACTGAGGTGGCTGGGGGGTCCCAAGGACTCGGAGGGAAGGCGCATGGCATTTGAATAACCTGCGTGCATCCGTGTTGAGGGCTGGGGGCTCCCTGATGAGCTGAAGGGCCCCAGCAGGGAGAAGCAACATTGGAAGGAGACAGTGGCACGTGGGCATGCACGCAGTAAAGGTTGGGTGCAGGGACCCCACCTTCCCATATCGCACTTCCAGGGCCCTGTGGGGACCCCCAGTCTGGAGTTTGCACACTTTGCCTGCTGTGATGCTGTGGGGGGCCAATGACTCGAGTGTTCGGCCGCCCCTCAGAAGAACCCTCACGGGAGTTTCTGTAGCCAGCAGGCTGGCATGGGGCCACTTCTCTCTCACTGTTGCTGCAGTGAATGGGAGGTGAAGGGCAGGGATCCCGTTTAGGGGTAGGAGATCTGCGGAACCGAGGGGCCCCCCAAGGTTTCTCCGTTGGACTGTCCTGTATAAGGCTTAACACTTCGCTCTGCTCACAACAATAGCAGCAACCAGGCTCTAATCGCTGTTTACACACGAAGGGTGTCCTCTAATAATAAAATATCTAAAGGATGCAACATTAAATTCTTTAGGCGGTGTAAAAGGACATGCAGATTAATTACAAATGTTGCTCTTCGATGTTTTTCCTGGATTTTGGGGGGGAGTGGGGGGGTGGGGAACAGAGAGGCCAAGAGTGCACGTTGCATGCATTGCTTACACGTTGCCAGCATTTCTTGCCGGTGTGCTTAGAGCTTTAGAGGTCCGACTCACCCGAAGTGCAGTGGCATCTCTCAAGAGTTTCGTCCTGCCTTCTTCTGGAAGCCCCTGTTGGCTGCAGCCCTTGCTACTGTCCTTCCCACCATTAGGCGAGCTACTGCTGCTGCTGCTTGTGTGGGGGCCTGTTGATGTTGAGGGGAGGTGGCCTTTGGAAGCCACCTGGAGGGGATTATTTCCGTTCCCGTCTCCCTTTGTGCTGAAGCGTGGGGTGAACAGGTTCGCGTTTGCCCGGCGGTTTTCGTGGTCAATTTCTTCAATGCAGTGTACGACCAGCTGCTGCTGCTGTTGCTGCTGCGGCCTTTCTGGGGAAGCCCTCTTGGGTGACCCTTGCGCGAGAGGAGGCGACGCCTTCAGTCTCAGCTGGACTTTGAAGAAGAGCCTTTGGTGCTCCCCCTCAGCGTCTCCTTCCTGTGTTGCTTCGGACTCTAAAGAGAGAGGAGTTGCAGGGGGGGAGACACCTTGGCGTTCCATTGCATAGTTGTCTGGAACACTAAGAGGGGACGGGGGACCCGCAGCAGGCAGCTGCCCCCAGGCGGCGCCCTCCAACTCCTCTTCCAGTGCACCGACTCCTAACTGGTTAGCACATGACTCTGCAGGCTGCCTACACCCATTTCCAGGGAACCCACCTGCTGCTGCTGCTGTTGCAACTGCTGCTGCTGCTGTCTCTGCTGCAGCAAGGGCCATACAATTCATAGGGGTGGAGCTTCCGCTCTGATGGGGGAGGAATTCCAGGGCAGGATCGTCGGGGCACCTCGGCGCTTCCCTCTGAAGACTTTCTTTATGTCGCCTCTGCTGGGGGAGCCCTTGCTCAGTGCCCGTCTCACCGTCGCTCGGGGGTCCCGTTGCTCCACTTGCTTGTGGTGTATGTTCGCCAGGAGAGGATCCCTCCTGATGTTCGTTGCTAAATAGACGGCGAATAGCTGCGGAACCGAACCCTTGTGGAGGATACGGGGGCCCCCCTTCAGTGTAGTTGGGCCTTTCACCAGGGTAGTGGGGAACCTCACCCGCGTAGGGGGATTCCTCTTCATCTTCTCCGAAGTGGAGGGCCGTGAGGTTAATGGGGTCATCCCTGGCTTCTTTTGCTGCCGCTGGTTTTGCAGATGCCCAGAGGTGTATAGGCACCTCGGCAATCGGCGTGAACTGCACGGGTTTGTCTTTTGTTTTGAGGGAGATCGGTGGAACATTAGGGGGTGTAGGGCTAGCTTTGCGGGTCTTGGGGGCCTTCGGGGGCCCCACAGGAAGCATTTTAAGCTGGCACGGATCTTCCATAGGAGCTTCTTCAGCCAGAGCAAGACTAAACAAGTTGTTGTTGCCTTGCAGAAGCTCCAGCATGCGGCACAGGCGAACAACCCGAGATCCCTCGAGCAGTCGCCAGTCTCCCTCCCCCCCCACAAGAATCTGCATATCCAACACCAAAGCATAGACAATAAACCCTCAATTCAGCAGATCCTACGCCCGAAATCCTCCTTGTGCAACTAATCCGAGACATTCCGCATCCACCCCAAACCCGAAGGTGCACATCCCAAGCGGCCAACCGCAACCCGCATGCCCTAAAACCTAATTCATAGACCCTAAACCCTACTGCCTCAAAAATACTTGCCTTGTCCTGGAGTTGCTTGAGCTTTTCTCTCCTTTCTCCGACATCCCGTAGCCTCTCTTCCGTTGTTGGGAGCCACCATTCGTTTTGCCTCTTTAGGCGCAGGAGCTGCTGGTGTCTCCTTAACAATGAGACACCAAGAAAAAGGGCTTCTGTCTCCCGTAGCACCAAGCGGTGCAGCAGGAACAGCCGAGATCTGAAACAGGCAGAAACGCGTTATGGGGTACTCGAGTTTAGTGTTTGGGTTTGCTTCAGCGAGCCAGCCCGGGAGTGCAGACGCATACATCACAATACAGACACCTCACCGGGGCCTCCTTCAATGCGTGACCCCTCAAGGAGGAAAACAGAAGAAACATTTCAGCAGCAACAGCAGCAGCAGCAACAGTAGTAGTAGCAGGAGTTGTAGGACTAGTAGAAGCAGCAGCAAAAGCTCAAGGACGGCAAGAGTATGTGTGCGCGACTCTTTGTGCGCATACTTCTGCGGCTGGATGAATTGTCTCTGGACATTTCTGCATATGTTGGACACAGCATTGGCTAGGCGCAAGACAGCGAGAGACGGAGGGAGTGCCTCAGGACAGGGGCTAAGGGGCGTCAGCAGCAGCAGAGCGCTTGGCCCCTCAACACAACTTCGTAGGAGACTTGTCGCTGCAGATGATCCCCAATCAAAGGAATCTAAATATTCAGGGGATTCCGACAGTCGCAGCAGACACTCTGTCAAATAAAATAAGCTTCTGTTTACTGCTCTGCCTGATATCAGCAAACAAAATGAGCACACAACACAGCAAGTCTCTCGCAACCCGCCTCCCGGGCCCCTGCTGCTCCTGTTGCTGCTGGTAGGGGTCCTGCTGCTGGACATGTAAATGCTGCTGCTGTGCACATGCCGCTGCTGCAGGTGCTGCTCCATATGCTGCTTCTGTGAAGCGCAGGATGGAGACAAAAGCAACAAGAGTGAATTATCCAGGCAGACGGACCTGAGGGCTGGTGAAGGAGTGTCTCTACTCCCGCTGCCTCGAAGAAGGTAATATCTGCCTTCAGAACTGTAACTGCATTCTTTGGATCTGCAGTCTTTGTGTGTCTATTTTCGTCTACTTGCATTGTCCCCGTCGATTTCCCGTCTGCTGTAGCTGCTTCTGTTGCAGGGGAGTGCTGTGGGCAAATGAGGCAATATGCGCGCTCCACAGAGAGTCTGAGGAGAAAGTTCGCCCCCTCGCTGCCCAAAGCAAGGTCTCTCGCCTTCTTGAAGGCAGCAGCTCTGGAAAAAGAACCAAACAGAGGTAAACAATAAGGCGTTCACAAATAGATGGACAAAAGAATGAAACAAAATCATATTCTACAAACCGTATAAATAAACATAAAACAGATTCGACACGGCAAAAACAAACAAGAACAAAAACCTAATCCATAAACGAATAACAGATAAATGAAATGCATAAATCAGTATATATTTGTTTTATATTTACTCTTTTAGAGGGTTTAGGGTCTGGGATTCCATCCAGTTTACCTGGCCACGACCTGCACAGCTTCTTCCAATGTAGCGACATCAACTTGTCTGAAGAGCCCATGCCCTTCTCTTGAATTTCCATGCGCCAGTGAGGCCCTCAGATCCACAGGCGGAAGCCGCTGTCCTGGCCAATAAAGCCCCTCGCAGCCGCCCAACAGATCCCCTACTTCTTCCCCCCGAATCTCTACACTCGAAATACAGACACTAAACTCGCAACCCAGTACCCCCGCCTCCGCGCAGGGGCATTTACAAGAACCTTTGGGTTGTAAATCAGAGGAGCCCCCGACGGGACCCCCAGAAAGCTTCGTAGAAGTCCCCTCAGAGGGGCCTGGAGAATACTCCCTTGAAGTACCGCCAAAAGGGTTCGTAGAGTGTCCACCGGGGGAGTGTTCCAAGGGCGCTTTATGGGGGCCCTCAGAATACGGTTTGGTGGCCCCCACGGGGGGCCCTGCCCACGGCAGGTTTGCAATGGCAGAAGGTACGGGTTTTGCAGAGGCAGACACGGAATTGTTGTAAGAGGCAATGTGGGAAAAGAGATCGGAAAGAGCAGAAAATATCAATCCTGGGGATTGAAGAGACCCAAAGAGAGAATGCGATTTCCCGCTGCCAGAAGTCCCGTAAGCGATTACCAAACTGCTAATCCCCTAAAAGAAGAGCCAGACAAGCAATAGCAACAACAAGAACAGCAGCAGGAGCACCAGACACTGTAGCAGCGACAATGTACTGTTTGTCTGGAGGGCCAGGGATGAATTGCGCGCGGGGTAGGGGCGCCTGCAGGGCTACGAGCCCAACTGTCAAGGGCGTAAGGTTTAGGGATTGAGACCCACTTCCGTAGATGAGAGGACAAGAGGCTGGAGGGTATTGACATAAAGTGCAGTATTTCCCGTATTTGCATCGAAAACCCTAAAGGCAAACAACCAAGTGCTGATTGAGTATTCTTAACTACAGCATGTGAACATGCATGTATAAAAGCAAAGATGTACACAGAGATCAATAAGCGGGGTTTGTGCACTCACTGGCCTCCCGTAGCGGCGTTTATTTGTTTATATATACCCTTGTATGAGTACTAGATAAATGCAAATAACCTAGAGGGGCCTATAAAGGCAAGCAGGAAGCGCCTTCTGCCAGTGTTTTGAGGAGTGCTGGGATGAGGGTCTGGGGTTTAGGGTTTGTCCTCACTTGCCACTGACGCGAAAGGAAGCAGATGGATCTGAGGGGGGTCTATCTGGAGATTGTGCTGTTTGGGTTTCTGCTGCATCTGGCAACTCGACTGAAATAGAATTCTCTGAGTCAACAGAATAGAGAGGGCCCCCGACAGATGCAGCTGTAGATACATTGGGGGGGCGCAAGCGAACATAAACCTGGGCGGGGACAGGAAATACTGAAGGGGCTGAGCCAGACATCGTAGATGGTGCTGCAGATACTCATGATACTGCTGCTGCTGCTCCTGCTCAAGGTTCTCCTCCTGCTGCGGTTGCGGTCGTTGCAAAAAGGGAGGAGAGATGATGCTGATGCTGTTGCTGACGACAATTCCGTCGATACTGGTGCTCTGGCTGCTAAATGGGGTGCTGAGAAGCCGCAAGAGTTGAAACAAATTCAAAGGTTATTAATAAATATTAAATAAGTGAACGGTAATTTAAACACTTAAATGCAGGCATAGTGCAGCAAAGGACAGAACTGCGAACTGCTCAAAGACCGCCGCGGGCCTCAGCTGAAGTGCACGGGCACTGCAATGGGCTCTCCTCTGGCTCCCTGTCGAGTGAATTCGTCATAAATCACACTATGAAGAATAGTTAATATTCAATATGGAGATTTTAGGCCACACTTGTAGTCGGATGGGCAACAAGTGTCTCAGTCCACAGACCATGGGGCTCTAGCCAACCCGCGGCAGGCCTCGTTGACGACGAGGGGCCCAGGCACACCCGCTCTTTGAGGGGGGAGACTTTTAAGAAACCGGCTGTTTAAATCCTTATTAACTGGAGGACGGTATTTTATGGTTCCTATATTAGTTAAGAGGAATGCACCTAGGTTGCGCCTGCTTTAGATACACGTAGTGTCAGCTGGGTGACTAGGGTACATCAGCTGCAGGCGTAGGACCAGCAGTAGCAGCCGCTGAGAACAAGTTCAGTATTGCTAGGACGGAATGTCCCCAATACATGCCAGATACAATTAATTTACTTTACATTGCTATTGGCTTGATGCAGTTGTTCCTCGGGTTCTCCTCGTCAAGTGTGTGTACACGAAAACATCCCGCCCGCTGGTCCTGTAGCTGGTCTGTCCATCTTAGTATTTTCCTCCTAAAAATTCAGAAATTCACATATGTATTAAAACTTATGCAGATTTTAGTGAGCAAAGCCGACAAGTTAATTTCCACTGATATGGAGATTTCGCTCCCCGCCAAAGCGAAATTCCCCCCATTGACTGCGTACAACGGACCACTTGATAAAACGAAGCTTTGTTTTGTCTAGTGGAAAATTTTCCAATACGTCCCTCGTATGTGGGTAGAAACGGCTGTTCTACATGGGGTTGGCAACTGAGCTTCAAGCGTTTACATGTTTCCTAGTAGTAATTGTCACTAGTGTAGTACTGCCGATCTAGTTGACAGTGTTGCGATAGGCAGCAATTTAAATTTGTGGCAGCGACAAGCAGCGCATGAAGTAAAAAGCAACCGGATTGGAATAGTGATTGCTCTAAGCACTACAAGAGCGGTACGCTTTTGCAACAGGTGTTTGGAACAGTGCCTCTTGCTTCTGCCCTCAAGTCGGGACCTTTGTTTTTGTTTACTTTACGGTCTACCTTCGCTCGTTTTCATCTATTACACGTTTCTGACTGCGAACTACTTTGTTGGTCTTTTTATATCTCTGAGTTCGCAGCCCTGAAAAAAAAAGACAAGCAGCAATTAACAGGGAGCACAGTTGTTAGTAGCACTTCCGTTTTATTGTTTGCTTCTTATTGGTTCGTTGCAAGTCGACGGTTCGAAATACCGCCGAAAGTTCATTGATTGCCTGCTTCAACGATTGAGCGGCTTCCGCATGAAGAGACCTAGTCCGCCGGCAGTCAATTTTTCTTCTACCTTTTGCTTAAATATTTTTCAAAGGTATCTATTTACTGGAAATGAATGATACTTCGCTGGCTTTTTTTTCGCTTTTTTTAGAAGCACGCCTTGTGTCAAATTATGTCAGGCTGAACTGCAAATTTATTGGTGGTTGCATTTTGCCCTCACTTACTGTTTTTGGTTATTTTCAAGCTGTGAGCGTTTCAACGATAGTTGTTTGCTTCCTTATTGTTTTGGCATCGGTCTACTCTTTCTCAGTCAAGTTAACCGTATTTTTGAACGCTACGTTCACATATGATTTCTTTTGGAATGGCTAGGCTACTTACAACAGCCTCGATCGCTAAAATCTAAGCCCTTACTACACTGCTGAGTGCCAAGTTTCACTGAGTGTCATGCCCGAGTAAGCCCCTTATGTGTAATGAGTATTATATACAGTGGAGATTAGAGAAAAAGCAACTGGGAGAAAGCCGCCTGCAGACATTTACCCCGCCCTGCTGAGGCAGCTGCTTCAAGAGCTTCTGATTCTGCTACACCTGTTGGTTAGGGACTTGTTTTCCCATTACAGGAGGAAGGAAAAGAAATATTGTGAGCAAAAACACTTGTTCAGCCACCTCCAGTGTCAAGAGCTACTCGGCAGGACGGGAAATCAAGGAGAGGAGAACACGGCGAATGTGTGCAAGTAGGTACAGAAACGGAGGCAACAGAACAGATAGCTGGATAAATTTTCTGAACTTGGGCTCGCACTTTCTGAGCTCTGGGCAATGCCCTTTCTGGCGGGACATGTGGTTGACTGGTGGGCGAAGGGAAAGGTCAGCGAAATTCCGACAAATATTCCACCAAAATGCAATTTTGCATTTACAGTTTGATGCAAGCACAAAATAATGCACGGGTAATGCCTCTGCAGCAAGTTTCGCGTACTGCAGAACCGTTCACCTTCCCGCGACCAGTGGTGCGTCAGCTGGAGCGTGCAACGCGTTCATTGTTCAAGAAGGGCAAAAACCATAAACTCCGAAGTATGTTTGTGTTATGATCTCTTGTGATGGAATGTATGCCGGAAAAGGGGGTTTTCGATTTAAAGAAATCTACAATACACCTCTTGCCACTACTCTACAGGCCGCGTTCGTTGCTCGGTTACCTCAGCGTTAATCCCGTCTAGTACATATATACTTTTAGCATGAGGGAACAGTTCGTCCAGTCTAATTCAAATGGACATTACGAAGCCAACTCCACCTCCGGGGCTGTTGCTTCATCCATGCTCACACGTGCGTCATGGGTGCACGACGCGTGCAATGAAGAGTCGGCGCAGTTACTCTCGTTAGAAGGGGAGCTAAAAGCAAATGCACCCCCACGCATTAAGTATAGTTTTATAAACCTATATTTTATTGGTCAAACCCGTACGTAGTGCTGAGCATGAGCACGTCAACGGTAGCAGCACACCGGCGCTGTGTTTGTTCAGTGAGTGAAAGGTGTTGGGCCCCGCATGTGGTGCTCGAAATTCACACATAAAAGGGGTAAATCCCCGAATTTTCCCCCATGTGTATTCCCTAATGAATTTTGAGATGCACGAAGTATTTCTTCTCCCTGTCAATTGATTTTTTAAAGCCCCCGTGACCTTCACACTACTCACTCCAGAACTCAAAACTCACTCAAACCCGCGCAGCGCGTGCAGGTCCTTCACCGCCTACTGGCCTTCGGCTTCATCAAAGGAAGTCGAGGGAATAGGAGTGGGAACAGCAAGATAGCGCTAACACAAACCGCTTTGCGTGTGTTTCACATGACTGGGCTCTGTGGAGTTGCTGCCGACCTCCAGTGACCGCCAGAGATATATTGCTGTTTCTTATTGTTTTGTTGCAAAAGGAAAGGCCAAGGAAGAGTGGAAACGAGTTGTGTGTGTGGTGCTCTCTCATAGGGTTGTTTATTTACAGCCCGTGGGAGTCCGTGACGCAGCGGGGGGCGCAGGTAGTTGTGGGGGACGGCCCAGGCAGAGGTATTTTGTTGATTGATGTCACTATTGAATTTGTTTGTCTCGAAGAGAAGAAGAGGTAACCACAATGAGTCGCGTGGGGCTGTTCTCCGTGAGTGCACAGCCGTGTGTTCACTTTAGTTTCTCCCCGTTTTTGCTGAAGAGACGGCTGCCTTTTATGTTTTTAATTCTTTTTGTCCTCGCTTCCAAGGCCCTCGACAGCACTCATGCAGGAATTTTACCCCAACGGAGCAGCAGTAGAGCCTCCTACAGGCAGGTAGCTATCCCAACCCCGCAAAGCTTCAACCAGAGCAGAAACACACAACAGCATGCAAATTTGGGTATCACCACCAATGCATCCACACCGTCTCCGTCAGAAAGTACGCCAGAGCAGCTTCTACCACCCTCACATGCGACAACAGAAACAGCAACCACAGCAGCAGCAAGAACAGCAGCAGCAACACCAGCAACAATAACAACAACCACAACAACAGCAGCGACAGAAACAACAGGCGCAACAACGAGACCGAAAAGAACAACGACAACGAAAATGGCACCAACAGCAGCAGCAACAGCAGCAACTACAGCAGCAAAAACAGTAGCAGCAGAAGCAGCAACAGCAGCGTCAACACGAACGTCAAGAACAAGGACAAGAACAAGAAACGCAACAACAACAACAACAACAACAACAACAACAACAACAACAACAACAACAACAACAACAACAACAACAACAGCAACAACAGCAACAACAACAACCAAAACAACGCCAGCAACAACAAGTACACCGATAACAGAAGCAGCAGAAGCAAAAATAGCGACAGCAACAGCAGAAGAGAAAATATTGACAGAAACAGCAGCAGCAACAACAACAACAGCAGCAGCAACAACAGCGACAGCAACCGCTACAGTTACATTGGCAGCAGAAGCAGCAACCTCCGGAAATACACTTGAGAATACTTCCTCATCGACAAGGCTTCGATGGAGTGCCCGAACCCCAAGAGAGTCACACACAACCCAAGTTTTTGTAGAGCCTGCTCCTGCTGCTTCTGGGGGATACGTCGCCACTGTTGTGGCTGATGCAGGTCCTGAGGAAACGAAAAGCAGCAGCAATACCAGCAGCAGCAGCAGCAGTAGCACGGGCACTGGTGGAACAGCCAGCGAAGTGGCAGCTGTGTCTGGTGATGGTTCGTCTGACGTCATGTTGAAACCTGCATCCGAATTGGAGTCGAAGCCGGAGCCAACACCAGAGCTGGGATCAGGATCCGGATCTGCATCAGGTTTGGGGGATCGTCTTCCGGTGCTATCCGCTCGTGTATCTGCACAGCGGCCGGCAATGTGGCCTGGAGAAGAGAGTTTTCGCGGCCAGGGTATTCCTCATTGGGGGCCCACAGGAGTGACTGCTAGCCGTAACATTCCCACACCCTCTAGAACTATACACCCTTCTCCTTGGGTAAGCCGAGCTTCTAGTGTAGAACACCTACTACTGGGTGCTTCTATACCCGTCTCGAGGCCACTGACGGGGCTGCGTCGACCCTTAAGAACCTTCTCAGGGACATTGGAGGGTCATAGCTTCAATACCGTGTTGCGGAATTCACGGACTCCAAGAGCAGTTCCTTTAGCTGTTGCTGTTGCTGCTCCCGCCTCTACTGCTGATTCTCCCGCTGCTGCTGCTGCCACTGCTGCTGTTGCGGTCGTCCAGCAGTGAGTTTTGTACGGCACACAGAGCCTGGGGGCAGCGAGACAGAAACAAGGTGGTGGCCGCACGACCAGCCTCCCTAATGATTTCCAGAAAGCAGGAAACGAGTCTACATAGCTGCAGGGCTGGTTGATGATTTAATTAGTCTGGTCGGGTTGACGACCTTTCTTGGGCAGAGCTACCCCATGACTCGCTCTTTTATATAAAGCAGTGTATAGTATATAATATATAAGTATGCATGTAAAAGTAGATGTGTCCTACGTGTATCTTTCAACAGGAACTTGTATAGGTTCGCACACGAGGAAAGTTGTACAGCTAAGGCCATTTTCAACTCGAATGTAAGGCGGACATTGGTAAGAGCTTAACGAGAAGCCAGTCTAGTTTGCTTCCTCTTGCAGTTATCGTCAAAGGCCCCTTAATACCACGGACGCATTATATTTATGTCGTCTCAAAGCTACCAAAGCTTGTGTGAGTCAGCCCGTACTTCCTTCGAAGCATACAGTCAGCGTACGTTAAGACTACAACCTACCTATGGTATCAATCATATGTGTGCAGTCTGCACGTAATTATGAACAGTACTCAAACATAGGCCCATCCTCCGGCGATATATACATTTATGTACGAAAATAAACAAAAAATGTGTCGAAGCCCCTATTAATGCATGAATATGTATATGTAAAATATGCAGTGTTTGCCCCCACGTTTATGCGTGGTGGGAAAAAAATAAAAAGATTAAATTATCAGCCTCTGTTGGGTTTCTTGAGAAAAAAATGATAGGAAGGAAATAAAGTAAAGGATCGCCCTACGGCAAATCTGAGGCCGCTGGACTGGTGTGCACTGCATTTATTGTAATTGCTATTCCTTTAATTGTTGGAACTGGCTGGTTCCGCTGGTGTTGTCAGTCCCGATCACAGATATAAAACAAGTGGAAAAATGGGCACAAAGAAACAATGCTATTGCTGCTTGCATAAATACTTTCGGCTGTGGCGATAGCGCCATCCACTTGATACTTCAACCTAGGGACTTGTTGCTCTCGCCTGTACTCCATTTTTTGTCAGTATAATTTCTGTCTGCACGTCCACCTTTAACTCCCTTACCCGTCTATCAATCGCCACCTTGGGCGGGAAGCAGTCCCACGTAGAAGGCAGAATGTGGCAGGCGAGACTATCTCGCTTCTGCTTAAAATAATCTAAAATCTGCATATTAGGAGGCATAAAAAGGCAGGCGAGACGAGCTCCCTTCTGCTTAAAATAATCTAAAATGTGAATATACCTGAGGTACATTCAGTTAGAACACGATCAGCTGGATGTCCGTCCTACCTCTAATTTTCCTCTGTGAAATTTTCAACCTTTGGGAGAGGAGGATGCAATTGGCCATGTTCTTTTTTCTCCGATATCATTATCAAGCTTCGAAGAGGCGAATTTGTTGCCTTGTTTTCTATAAGTTCCTCGTTGTGAATGCGTGCGGCCGATTTGCATGGGCTTGTTTGCATGTTCTTTGTGGCTGCGTCAAGGCATGCATTCAACACTACGCTGTGAGCTTGGATCTCCCCAGATGCTTGCTGATCCCACGTGGTTTTATTGAGTGCATGTCGGGCTTTGTCAAGGCCAGCAAATGTCGTCGTACACCTCGCAATGTTCACTATGTGTGCCTTATTGCTCTCGAAATGTTGGATGTGCACACGCGCCCCTTCGGCTGTGCATGCTGTGATGTAGGAACCAGAAAACCTCATTACGGCGGCCTTAGGAAACATTGTAGGTTGTTTAACTATGCTCGATGGCACTTTTGGCAACTGCACTTCTGTTGAAAACGCATCATGAATCGGGAAATGACTGGACAAGTCGATGTTCGCTTCCTGCTCGTCCGTGAGGCAACTTACGCTTTTGCTTTCTGCTTTGTCTACACAGGGAAACGTCTTTTCTGAGGCTGCAGGTACCTCGCTCTGTGCGCTTTTCTTGGGGGGTTCTTGGCCTTTAATTTTCTCGTCTTTTTCGCTGTTTTTGTATTCACCTTTCACATCCGTTCCTGTGTTGTCTTCGCCTGGAGAACAGCTATGATTACGTGTTTCTTCGTCCTCGTTTGGTGTGGGCTGGACAGGAACGAATTGAGCACTAGGCGAGCATTTGACCTCAGAATCTACGTTTGACTGCTGCTTTTCCTGCATCTGGAGGCTGGGAGCGCTTCCATTGCTTTGATATACTGTTGTCTTGCTGTTGCGGGAAGATGGTGAACCCTGGCGGCTCCTGGTGGCCATGCGTGCATTGGATACCACCAGCTGACTCTCATCAATAATATCAGCTGTACCACAAGAGCTCAATATGGCTGCAGATCCTTCCAAAACGGAAACCACCTTTTCCATGAAGCCGGCAATTACCGAAGACGAACCCCCACTGTTTGATTCCCCTTCTCTTTGCCTTCGTCCTTGTAACTGAGGCGGAGTTCCCGAAGGGTTGTGGAGACGCTCACCTGCAGCTCTGTTTTGTTCGGCCTCGCCACTTGTATCATTCGATTGCCCTATGAGAGATGATTCTTTTGAAGGTGCATTAACTGCTTCATCTGGCTGTTGAGTCGCCGCTGGCTGCAAGTGTTGTGCACAGTCGGGTTCACGATGAAGTGCTTCACAAGTACAGTCCATGAAGGGATGATTCAAATAAGCCAATTGCTTTTTGCTTGCTTTAAAGGGGGCACTCAGAACTGCCTGCCAGCTCCAGTCTGCTTTTCTCCCTGGGCACCTATGTTGTTTGTCTTTCATAGCAGCACCAGACTGGAGGACGGAACCATCGATGGTGGGAGTTTGCATATGCGTCGGGGTTGATTCTAATGTAGCAGAAGCACCTACATCTTCTGCCAGTGCATGTGACGATGATGTCGCCTGTGTGCATCTATGGGGCTGTGGCGTTGCTTCCTCTGGGTCGCTACAGTCCCCTGAGCCCCATTCCTCCCCTTCTATGATTGTCGGGCAGTCATGGGGAAGTGCGAATCCATTCTTCATGCCGGGCATCACAGTATGCGGAATATCATCAAACGAGTGCTCGTTCTCTTGTCCAGTTGTTTCTGTGATCTGCTTAGTGCCGTTGCTGTTGCCGTCAGTCCCATGGAGAGAGTTGTCGGCGTCCTGCTCCTGAGCAAGCCTGTCAGATGGGGGCTCAGTGGTATACGACTGCGTCTCTGTTTGGGGAGTTGGAACGTTTGAGGCTGTCAGCTCCTGCTGCTGGTGGTGGTTTGTGTTCTCCGCCCCTTTCCGCTGTTTCGTCTTGAGTTTGCGGAAAACAGTTTGAATGGCTTTCAGCGGGCCGGTTGGAGGCGTTGTACCGTCTGTGCGTCTGCGGCAAATAAACACTTTGGGGCCTACGAAGGCAATTGGGGGCTCCGCGGCGACGGTGATCTCAGCATTCTTTGGATGTGTAAGAGCAGGTATGAGCATCATCCGCAGACGAGAGACTCGTGAAGGCCCCTTATCCACGTCAAGAACAGGCTCCATAATGCCCTGTTTCATTCAAATAAACAGATCCTCAACGATAGATGTGCTGTGGACGGCAGAACAAAACTGTTGCAGCCTGCAGCTCGAAACAAATCCGTGAGTTCAGAACCGGAGCTCAGGTGCAGCTCCGCCAGACAAGTGCCTCTGGTGCGACGTCTATATCAAATCAAACATAAAGATGAACTGAAACGGAAAAGTAGCTAACACTGTTGGCCGGTAGCGTCTAAGACTGCGGACTTCAACAGTGCGAAATCGCTTGAGCCTTATAGCCACCCGCCTCGAGATTCTTCTGCCTTAACTCGGCACCGCCGACACAATTGACAAGAAAACAGAACGGTTTATTAATCGGTTCAAACAGAAGTATCAAACCATACTCTAGTATTCGAAGAAAATGGTTGTAGTTGTATTGTCGCGGGACACAGACAGCCGCCCTGCTTGATGGACGGGCAGCTTGCAGGAAGACATTTCACGACGAGCACAGCGGATGGCCGTGACGTGGCGGTTTCCTGAGATATCTGTCGATAAAATGAAACCATCCACAATAACCACCGAAAATAGTGGTATTTAAATGGTGTTACGGGTGGGTTTTATATTTTCTAACCCAAATTTCTAAGGGTTTCACCGACGTCTGTCCATTCACCCCTGTGCTCTGCCCACTCGAGCTGACCGTTGACCACGATTTCCCGCCATCCCTAACTTCCCAAGCTAATTAGTTCATTTTGATTATTCCGAGCTATTTACGTTACGTATACTATATACAGTCTAAACAAGGGGCTCTATCAGCCTTAAACGTTTCTGTTGGCTGGAGCCTTACCCGATTGCCGCAATGTGCGGTTGAGCTGAGCTGTCAGGCGGTCCTCTTGTGCTCCTAGCATCGCTCACCATGCTGCCATCCAAAATTGTGTAGTCCTTTAAAGTAATATCTCCAAGTATGTACACTATTGTACATTCCAGACAGTACACAATTGCATTTGGGTTTTGCGGCATCGTCACTGCACAGCCCGGTTACTGAAGTGCAGCAAATGTGGTGAAGCCCAAAACAAATAGCTGGGCAAACATACCCCAAATCCATATGAAGACAGTTGGATCGTTCACTATAGCAAACTCAACATCGTTCCTGGAACCTCGATAGTAGCCTCCAAGCAGAGGCATCATTTTGCTCCCCGAGCATTTATGGCGGTGAGATTCGGTACGAGGAATGCGGCTCATCAGAACATAAACTGTGGGAATCTGCTACCGGTGAAGATGTGGAATATAATTTTGCAGATTAGGTGTGATTACAAATGCCTGGAGTACGGTTATATATCTTTGAACTCGCTCTACTTTTTCCACACGAAGCCCAGGGAGCAGCCAGTGGAGGCAAACAGTGCCGGGTGAAATTGAGATCAACTGGTCTTCACCCACATAGGTTTGCACAAATTTACAGATTGAATCTACATATATTGGACTCAAATCCAACACATGTTTAAAACAGAGCGTCAACGCCCTGCCCAGCGACACTATTTGAAACTTGAGGGGCCAAGCCACAGCTGCTGCTGATAGTACTGACAGCGATACTACAGCTGGTGCTTGTGTTAATCCAAATGGTTCTCCTGCTTTTTGAACAGCACTGTGGCCCGCCGTACACGACTTCATGGGGCTTAATATCGCGGGACCGTGAAAAGTTTAGTAGCACGAAGTTACCACGGACCTAACGAAACTTCCAGCAGATTTTCCTTTACTCAAGTGCACGCAGACCAGAAAAGGCGTCATCTGCCTCTTCAAAGAAAATTCTTCCACCAAGTACGTTGGTGACGTCGTCAATTAGCCAAGGCCACAGCGCTCTATCCAGCTTTCTCAACTTGTTCAGCTCGCCGCCGCACAGTTTGCTGTCCAGATGCAGCAATTCGTTACTGCAGTAACAGGGCAAATCCCACAGCAGAAGCAGTAATAGGCTGCTGCAAAGCACCAAAAGTCCTCGATTTCAACTGGTGGCCGTTGTCTCAAATCTTTCCCAGATATCTGCTGGAAACTGTATATGGAAAGTGCACCACAGGTCTGTCTAGGCAAAGGTTTACTTTTTTCGTCGGTTATATTTCAAAGCCGTTGAAGACACAGGTAAGTGTAGAGCAAAGGCAGGGTAGAAATGATTGAATGTTTGGTCATCGGGAGCAACCACCTTGCCGGCAGTCACCCGCATTGCTGGAGTCCTTTGACGACCTCAACTGTCAGGGGACATAGAACCCCACCAGAAATCACCAGTGGTACATTTCTCTCGGTGTGTGTGCTGTTATTGTGGGGGGATTGATTGTTACTGGCCGCTGGTAAAGGCGACGACCAGTTTCTGTAACCTACGAGGTCCTTAGGGCCCAAACCTGTACCTACTGGTTGTATATAGGTGGCTTCGTCGTGTCTTCATGGGAGCACACTCGCGCGCATACTTTCTGTAAAACTCAGAAAAACGGACAGTGCTGCACTTGTCTCCCACACTTTTCACTAACTGCTTGGCTACCCTACAACTGATAGGTGCACCCAGGAAAACGACGGAGGCCCCGAGACGGACCTCAATTCTGAACACCAGAAGAGGGAAACGAATTGGCAAGGGCAAACCTCTAACAACAACAGCGTTCATTACTGTTGCTAGCTAGCAGCATCTGGCTACCGTAGGCCCACGCAGTGTCCAGACCACTAGCCAGTCAAGGAGCCGCTTGTAGTGCACCCGGTGGGGAAACTCTGTCAAATGTGGGCCCGCATGACCAAGCAAAAACGCTTTGGGAACCACTCCTTGCTGGCTACTTTAGTGAGCGCGACGCTGTGCTCCAGCCGCTGTAGGTGACCCAACTTCGTCGCAGTATATCTTGGTGGGTATAAAATGGGCCGTCTTACTCGGTGAATCAACCAGGGCGATGATGGCACCATTTCCAGAGAGGGTAAGCGGTAAACCAGTGGTAAAATCCAGATTAACATGGCTCCATCGCCGGGACGGAATCATCAACTGTTGTAAAAGCCCCGCGGGTTTCTGGGAAACGGACTTAGAAGCCCGACATTGTACACAGGATCCAACATACGCGGTGGTATAGGCCCGCATGCCCGGCCAATAATACCGCCTACTTAATGCAATATACGTCTTCTTTTGGCCCCTGTGCCCCGCAGTGACATGATCATGATTCTCGAATAGGACATGAGTTAAAAATTCTGGGAAGTGAGGTACACAAACCAACCAAACACCATTAATACAGATCTGGAGGTAAGGGAAGACAAATCGAAAGTAATATCGTCATTGCTGAAAGTCGACCTGCACAGGCTCCCCTTGCCTGGGGGCTGCCGCCTCATGGGGGCTACCAAATACTGGACACCTGGGATACGCAACCAGCCAGTCCAAAGAAAGCGAAGGGGAAGTGGGCCGTGACTGATTCCCCCGTCGTGATCCGGCTACTTGAACATCTGTCTGCTGTGGTTCCCCTGTAGGTGGTCCAGTGCGAACGGAAAGGGCTCCTGCGTGAAGGGGAGTTGCCGCTGAACGTGAAGGCGGTGTGGTCTGCCGCCTTTGTGAAGCTCGCCCACGCAGACCCGCTAACTCCCTGTAGTTGACACTTCGCTCCCTGGTTCTGGTGGGGGAGCTTGCTGAGTTTGCCACTTGTACCAACGTGGCGACAAGCTCTGGCGCCGAGTTGTGGGTGACTGTAGAGGAAGCCGAGGTACTGGATTCCGGGGAGTCACAAGGGATCCCAGTTAACGCATCAGCTACCCGGTTGCTCATCACAGGCAAGAACGTAATGGTGAGATCCGGAAACACGGCAAGGAAGAACAACCATCTGGCAGTCCGGCCTCTTAAAGGCTTTGAAGCCTTGAGCTGCTGAAGGTATGTCAGGGCCTGATGGTCCGTATATGCCTCTACTTTAGAGACCATCAGCAGATGAGCCCATTTGGAAAGAGCGGTGACCAACGCCAGAGTTCCTGATCGTATATGGAATATCTTGTCTGAGCCGGGGACAATACCTGGCTCAGGAGACCAATCGGCTGACCTTCCTGCTCCAATACTGCACCCACTGCGTATCCTGAAGCATCGGAATATAATTCGAAGGGTTTGGTAGTATCAGGCACCTGCAAAGTCGTGAAGTCGATAAGACGCTGTTTTAGTCTCCGTACCGCTTGTGTATGCTCAGCGGTCCACTGAAAAGGGGCCCCCTTTCGTGTATGCTCTACCAACGGCCTGGCCACCGTTGCAAAATCCGGTTCCATAAACATCCTACAGTAGTTAACAGTTCCCAAAAACTGCCGCACTTGAGTCTCATTAGTTAAAGTTTCCGGCCATACCCTAATGGCCGAAACTTTATCGGCTGCCGGCTTTATCCCTTCCGCACTAAATGTATAATTGTATGTATGTCAACTCTTGCCTAGCAAATTTGCATCTGCTCAACTTTGGGTAGAACTGGCGCTCCAGTAGAATGCCTAACACCTTTCTAAGCAGATCAGCATGTGAGGGTATAACACTACTGTAAACAAGAATATCATCTAAGTAGGCAATAACCCCTTGCCCAATAATCATGCTGTACAGCCTTCACTCAACAGGGAAGAGCAGTTCCCACTCGTGTTTATCATAGACGATGGAGATGCACAACATTTGATCTAGCGTCGGGTTTTCCTTCTCATTCTGTCTCTCCGTTTGATGGTACAAAGCCACGGCATCGCTTTAATTGAAGCCTTTGCACCGCTGTTGGAACACACCGCCTTGAAGTCACTGTCCCTTTCAGTGGTTAGCAAATCGCGGAACCAGAATCGCGGGTGCAGATAACAATGGGACTTCAATCCTGTCCGCTGTCTTTGCAGTCTGTGTCGTGGGGAACACGTGCGCCGTTTTATTAACAAGGGCAAGGACTGTGTCGTGATGAAATCCAAGCTAACAAGACTCCAGCGTCGAAATGATATATGGAGAATTCGAAGGAATTCCGCTCGCTCCCGATTGATGCCCTTGGGGGCCCGACAATGGACACAGGACCAAATGGAGGCCTGACGTAAGGATTAATCCAAGCCAA